CACGCTACCAAGCCCGGCTATTTTTTGATTTATTGTAGAGATGAGGTCTCACTGCCCAGGTGGGTCTCGAACCCGCGGGCTCAGGCAATTCACTCACCTCAGCTTCCCAAAGGCGCGGATTACAGGCTGAGCCGCCGAGCCCGGCTGTTTATTCTTTTTTAAGTCAGTGTCTCACTCTGTCGCCCAGGCTGGAGCACAGTGTCGTGATCACAATGATCATGGCTGTCTTCAGCCTTGACCTCCCAGGCTCAGGTGACTCTTCCATTGCAGCATCCTAAGTAGCTAGGACTACAGACGCACACCACCTCACCCAGCTAATTTTTTTAAAGGATTTTTATAGAGATGAGGTTTCACTATGTTGCCCAGGCTGGTCTTGAATTCCTGGGGTCAAGTGATCCTCCCACCTCGGCCTCCCAAAATGCTGGGATTGCAGGCATGAGCCAATGTTCCTGGCCCATAATGATTTTTGAACAAGGGACCTGTTTTTTCTTTTTGCACCAGGTCCCGAAAATTCTATCATTGGTTCTGACAATGCAGCTGCAGAGATAAAAATCCGTAGGACTGGGAAAAGACTGGCGGAGGGGCCAGGGGCCACAGGTGGGTGGTTGGCAGGTGGCTGGGAGTGAGCGCTTTGGAACCCAGGTCACCCCAGCTTCCTTCGCAGCATGGCCTTGGGGGTGTCGTGGACTGTCTTTTGTCATTGCTGCGGCTTTTGCTCTGCCCTAAAGCCTTCTGGACTGCAGGCACTGGGGCTGCTTTGTGGGGAGTGTAAGGGGATTGTGGGGCTTAGGATGGGGACACTGGCGGAGTCTTTTTCTGGAGTGTTGATGGTTTACTAACCTACAGGGCACAGTTGCCATGAGCCTCAGTGTCTCCTTGTCTCAGTCCCTGGATGGGGATTCTGTTCCCTGCATGTTTCTATGCAGAAACCGATAACGTGCCTTTGGAGTCTCAGCTTACATTGGGGGTGCCTCTGTGACAGCAATTCTTCGCATAAAAGTCCTCTTTGATTGAAGATGCACCATTGCTACACGGGAGGTTGAGGTGGGAGGACTGCTTGAGGCCAGCAGTTCAAGACCAGCCTGGGCAACATGGCAAGACCCCATCTCTACAAACAACGAAAAAATTAGCTGGGTGTGGTGGTGGCGCCTGTAGTCCCAGCTATTCAGGAGGCTGAGGCTGGAGGATCACTTGAGCCCAGGAGGTGGCGGCTGCAGTGAGCTGTGATCACACCCCTGCTCTCCAATCTGGCCGACAGAGCAAGACCTTGTCTCTAAAAAAAAAAAAAAAAATCACGACTGCACCACTGTTTATATATTTATGACTAAGAAAGAATGCCGCTCTGCCCGCTACGTGTCACCAGGTGCAGTTCGATGTCAGAGGTGCTCCAAGAAGACAGCATCCCTCCGCAGGCCTCTTTGATGCCCACACCCGCGTTCTGGGGGGGGACACTGTAAACCCCTCAACAGACACAAGGAGACAGTGGTTCCGGCACAAGTTCTGGCCCAGGGTTGGCCCCGCCCCCTTCCTGTCCTGCTTGATGACTAATTGCTCCACCCCTTCCTTCCTGCAGTCGCGCTCTGCTCAGGCCTTTGACCTGGAGCTTCAGTTGTGTAGGTGGTTGGGTGTCTTAGTCTCTGAGCCGAAGATTTCGGGGGTCAGGGGCTGCCGTGAGTCCCCTTCGACTGCCCCTCTCGAGACCTGGCGTCCACAGGATCAGTTTGGCCTACTAGAATCAGCCCTCCCACCCAGCCTCTCTCTGGCCAGCGACTGAAATGGACCACAGGCAGGCGGTTGTCAAGGAGACCTCACCACATCCAACTTCAGCCAAACTGAACACCCTCCTCTGCCAAGAAAGCTCTGTGCATGTGTGTGGACACATCCTGGCTCTCACATCCAAGTTCCTTTTCAAAAGCGTTTTCCAAAAGTTTTTTCCATTTTAAAATTTTTTATTAATTTTACAAATGTTCCATTACAATTTTTTAAATGTTTACATTTTAAAAACTTGATTGATTGATCGAGTTGGAGTCTCACTCTGTCACCCAGGCTGGAGTGCAGTGGCACACTCACAGCCACCCCAGCATCGACCTGCTGGGCTCTGGCAATCCTTCCGCCTCAGCCTTCCAAGTAGCTGGAACTACAGGCGCACGCTACCATGCCCGGCTAATTTTTTATTTATTGTAGAGACCAGTTCACACCATGTTACCCGGGCTGGTCTTGAACCTTCAGACTCAGGCAATCCACTCGCCTCAGCCTCCCAAAGTGCTGGGATTACAGGCAGAGCCACCAAGTCCAGCCTTTAACTTTTTTTTTTGAGTTGGAGTCTCACTCTGTCGCCCAGACTAGAGTGCAGTTACCGCTTCCGGCCACCGCAGCCTCGACCTGCTGGGCTCCGGCGATCCTTCTGCCTCAGTCTTCCAAGTAGCTGGAACTACAGGCGTGCGCTATCACGCCCGGCTAATTTTTTGATTTATTGTAGAGATGAGGTCTCGCCAAGTTGCCCAGGCGGGTCTCGAACCCGCGGGCTCAGGCAATCCACTCACCTCAGCCTCCCAAGGCAGGGGATTACAGGCTGAGCCACCTAGCCGGCTAACTTTTTTTTTTTCAGAGCTGCTGCCCAGGCTGGTTTTGATTCCTCCTGGGATCAAATCACCCTCCCATCTTGGCCTCCTGAGTTAACTGAGACTACAGGCTTGAGACACCACACCCGGCTTACTTTAACATCTCTCTGTAGAGGTGGGATCTCACTGTATTGCCCAGGCTGGTCTCGAACTCCTGGGCTCAAGTGATCCTCCTGCCTCAGCCGCCTGAGTAGCTGGGACCTTAGGCACACTCCACTGCACCAGGCTCTATCTTGTTTTTAAGTAAATTTTTGATTCTGGAATTTAGATTGACAGGAAATTTGCTCAGACACTACAGTGTTCCCACACACCCCACACCCCGTATCTCCTTACCTATCTACAGTACAGCCAACGGGAATATCGCCACAGTGGAAATATTTGTTACAAACATTTGTTACATTGACATCTGTGCAGGACTCTGAACCAACTTTCAGATTTCACTGGCTGCCAGTTCTTCCATCCAGACCTCTTTCTGGTGGAGGAACCCACTCGGACTCCTCGCTTCACTTAGCTATCATGTCACCCAGTCTCCCTGGGTCTGGGACAATTTCTGTCTCCTTGTTCCTTGTGACCTTGGCAGCTTTAGGAAGGATGAGCAGGGTGTCCTTCAGAGTAATTTTTTAAAATAAGAATTTATGTAAATAAAATAATTTTTGTATTTTAAAATAAAAAAATTTTTGTTTAGCCAGGCCCAGTGGTTCACACCTGTCATTCCAGCACTTTGGGAGGTGGAGGTAAGAGGACTGCCTGAGCCCAGGGGTTCAAGACCAGGCTGGGCAACTTGGCGAGACCTCGTCTCTACGATAAACCCCAAAATTAGCCAGGCATGGTGGCATGCGCCTGTGGTTCCAGCTACTTGGGAGACTCAGATGGAGGCGTCACTTGAGCCCAGCAGGTCGAGGCTGCAGTGGCCATAAGCGTGCCCCTTCATTCCAGCCTGGGTGACAGAGTGAGACTCTGACTCAAAATAAATAAATAAATAAATAATAAAAATTTTAAATTTTTACATTAAAAAAAATTATTTTAGAGATGGTGTTTGCTATGTTGCCCAGGCTAGTCTCAAACTCCTGGCCAATAAACATTACTTTCTCACCAGTCTGGGTCTGTCCGATATTTTTCTCATGACTACACTGAGGTTATGACTTTCATTCCATTTTTTTTTTTTTTTTTTTTGAGTTGGAGTCTCACTTCGTTGCACAGGCTGGGAGTACAGTGGCACGCTCACAGCCACCCCAGCCCTGACCTGCTGGGCTCCGGTGATCCTTCTGTCTCAGCCTTCCAAGTAGCCAGAACTACAGGTGAGCACTACCATGCACGTTTTTTTTTTTTTTATTGTAGAGATGAGGTCTTGCAGGCTGGTCTCAAACTCGCAGGCTCAGGCAATTCATTCGCCTCGGCCTCTCAAAGTGCTGGGATTACAGGTTGAGCCACTGAGCCTGGCCCATTCTATTTCTTTTAATACATACATCCCGCTACAGGGCAGGCTGTTAACAATTATTGAAGACACTTTGTGCTTTTGTCAAAAGAAACAGAAGAAAAATGATCACCTGTCATGCCATCTCCTTGACAAACCTGCATTTATAATCCCTAGGTTGTTGATCTGAGGTGGGGTATTCGGAACACAGAGGCCACTGATCTCCTGACCACAGAACTTTGCTTGGAGGAGATCACCCGGTGTCGGAAAACATCCATAGGCCCGGCTTTTGTGGTGAGTCTCTCGGGAAGGGGGGGTTAGATCTTATGCTTTCTTCCATGACCAGGCTGTGTCCCCGGCTCCCAAGCCAGACTGATCAATGGAGGGAAGTGGGCGGTATTCCTGCCACTGTACGCTGTGTGTACCCTGCCCGTGGTAGACATTGCTAATTGATAACAACACTCTGCAGAGTTCCTATCCTGTCCTTGCACCCTGCCTGTGGCAGACATTGCTAATCAATCACAGCACTCTTTCTGCAGAGCTAGCTGGGATCCAGACATTAGCAATCACGTGGAAGCAGGTGGAATGTTAAAGCCAGAGGAATCTTAGGATTTGATGTGGACCTTCCCACCTTCCCACCCCACTCACTTTATGTCTGTGGAACTTTGAAATTCTGGAAATCGCTTCACTCCTTACCACCAAGCCAGACACTAGCTCTCTGGTAGACGCCAGCTGGGCGTCCTCCAAACCAATTCCCACACTGTCCACCCGGAGACAGAGTCAGATCCCACAGGGTGCAGGCTGGCCTTCAGGCTGCTTCCTCAGACATCAGCCCCAAATCCAGAACTTCTAACTGAGCAGCTTCCAGTGGGGGTTTCCACAACTCTCTCTTCCAGTCTGATTAATTTGCTTGGGTGACTCACAAAAACTCAGGGAATCACGTTTACCAGTTTCTTATTAAAATATTACAAAGAAGGCTGGGCGTGTTGACTCACGCCTGTAATCCCAGCACCCTGGGAGGCTGAGGCGGGAGAAATGCTTGAGGCCAGAAGTTCAAGACCAGCCTGAACAACACAGTGGGACCTCATCTCTACAGAAAATAAAAAACTTAGTCAGGCATGGTGGTGTCTATAATCCTAGCTACTCAGGGACTGAGGTGGGAGGACCGCCTAAGCCCAGGAGGTCGAGACTGAGGTGACCGCCAGCATGCTACCACCCTCCAGCCTGGGGACACAGAGAGACCCCAACTCAAAACAAAAAAAGAATGACAAAGGATACAGATGAAGCGCCAAGTAGGGCGAGGGACTGGGGAGGACACCCCCTTCCAGGAACCTCCACACACTCAGCTCTCCGGAAGCGCTGAGCCCTGACTTTTGGGCCTTTCCTGGAGACTCCATGGCCAGGCCTGAACAGCAACCTGCAAACGTGACTGGACGGCAAGGGTCTGATCTGATGCTAGCACACAGGCAGCAGTCAGCAGGGCCTGCCCATCCAGACCCTTCTCGGCCTGTCTGTGCTGGAGTCCTTCGTCCAGGGGACGGGGCAGGAGCTTCTGAAATGAGGGTCTTATGACCCGATCAGATTGGCGCCCTGTGGTGGGTAGGGGGAAGGAGAGGAGGAGGCCAGGGGGAGGCTCTGCTGCCTGAGGCTGCACCTGAGGCCTCGAGTCCCAAGTGACAATAAGAGACCAAAGGCAGATTGGGGAGTCATGAACAGGGAGCCATGGAGGACGCCTATATGTGTGTGTGTGTGTGTGTGTGTGTGTGTGTGTGTGTGTGTGTGTGAGTGCGAGTGTGTGTGTGATATCACAGAGTGTGGAGAGGCTTTCTTGATTATGTATTAGGCTTTATTTATTTATTTATTTATTTATTTATTTTTTTGAGTTGGCGTCTCACTCTGTCGCCCAGATGGAGGGCAGCAGCCACTCCCAGCCACCGCAGCCTCACCTCCTGGGCTCCGGCGACCCTTCCGCCTCAGCCTTCTGAGTAG